CATAGTCAACTGTGGTTCGCCAGTTTTTTGTTTTTAAACCATGTCCACAAAACATTATAGTAGGGGCCCATGGTTGAATAATTATAATGTGTCATGTTGCTGGCAAGGGGCATATGAACTGGGTCAGTTAGTGACTATTGTCCCAATAATACAAGGAAATTTGTGACAAAAGGACAGGTTGATAAATATGGGGCAGAACTCCTAGCAGCTTAGTTCCCACCCACCAGATGGGAGCACAAGATGCCTCTGACTGTGGACCTGAAGACCATGTTCTGCAACCACTTCTCTTCCTAGTACTCAAGGGAAACCAGTGTAGTTCAGTTCACCGCAGCCCATTTCCTTTCTTATAGAAATGTTCTTAGATATTTTTTTAAGCCTGTGCAGACCAGAGAGGACATACAGTTGGTGGAGTTCCTCACCTTTGAAGAATCCCCAGATGGAGAACAAAATATTTTCTTCTTCTTCTTATGATTTATTAAATAGCCTCCTTACCCTAGGGTAGAAGTTTAAAGCTCACTTGCAGTAGCTTGATACAGTTGATTCCAGAGAGGCTGCGATTTCTAACCTGTTTGTGAATCACTCCAGAGTTTGTCAGCCTTGAGAGGAGGAAGGGTGGGCCAGCCTAATTGCATGCAAACCTCTCTTGTCAGGAAGTGTGGATGCTTCAGAATGAAAGCTACAGTTAGATTTGCAAAATTTGACACCCCCGTCTCCATTTGCTTATGGTGAACTTTTGAGAGAGAGAGAGAGAGAGAGAGAGAGAGAGAGAGAGAGAGAGATTTATTAAGGGTTAAAAAAATCATTACGCTCGTTATCATTGTCCATACTGGAAAATACATATTTCTTTAGAAACTTGCCAATAGTTCCGTTTGTTTTACTTGGTTCCCATATCTGGGTCATTCTTTCACACTGCAGCTATTTAGCATGGTCACATTAATTGTGAATCACCACTGGCAGCGTCCAACATGCTGAAATAATCTCCACAAGATTTTGTGTGTGTGTTTGCAACTGTTTCACATATAGCATGCTTGACAGCCATGCTATCTAATATTCACAGTCTGCTACAGCTTGATGATGATCACCACAGGGTTGTGTGCAGGTGTGTGTGTGGTGAATCTTTCTCAATAAATTTGTCTAATCCTTCATGGTGGTATCGTTTAGCACTGACTTCTTCCTCAGGGAATGGAAAGGGATTTTTTTTAAAAGCAAAGTTGGCCGGTACAGTCAAATCTTATTCAGTGGTGGGCTGTATATGCATGTGTGGTGGCTATGCCCAGTTTGGAGATAATAGAATCTAATGTTCCCACAGAAACTCTTGTATGGGTTTCTGTTATACAGCCTAATGTTCTAGGAAAGTACCAGGATCTTAAATGCCATGAAAAAACCAATTTCTTTCTCACTAATGGCAGCAAAACTAAGAGCCTAGTCCTATGCTTTACTGAGCAGCTGTGCTCATCCCCCAGTGATTTCAGAGCCCAGGCAGGTTCATATGGGACAATACGGTCCTTCAGATCACCTGGACCTAAGCTATATAGGGCTTTATAGGTGATATAAATATTTATTTAATTTATATACCACCCTTCATCTGAGAATCACAGGGTGGTTTATACAGGGTGATTTTCAGAATAAAAACAAAAAAAAGTAACACAACCACAAACAAAACAGCAACCCCTCTCCTAGTTTAAAAAGCCATAGGTTGTTTAATTAGCCAAAGGGCTGAGAGAAGAGGAATGTTTTTGCCTGGTGCCTAAAGAAGTGCAATGAAGGTGCCGAGTGAGCAACCCTGGGGAGAGCATTCCACAAATGGGAAATGAGCATTTCAGTGCAGAAAAAAGGCCCTTTCTTGTGTTGCCACCTTCTGGACCTCTCCTGGAGGAGGCACATGAAGAAGAGCCTCAGATGGTGATCACAAGGTCTGGGTTGGTTCATATGGGGAGAGGCGGTCCTTGAGGTATTGTGGTCCTGAGTCATTTACAGCTTTATAGGTCAAAACTAGCACTTTGAATTGGGTCTGGAAAGTAATTGGCAGCCAGTGCAGTCAGGCCAGGATCGGTGTTATATGCTCAAACCATCTTGCCAAATTCTGCACCCGCTGAAGTTTCTGATCCATCTTCAGAGGCTGCCCTATGTATAACACATTGCAGTAATCTAACCTAGAGGTTACCAGAGCATAGACAACAGAAGTTAGGCTATCCTGGTCCAGATAGGGGTGCAGCTGGACCACCAGCCAAAGCTGATGGAAGGCAACTGCACACTTCAGAGGACACCTGACCCTCAAGTGACAGCAAAGGATCCTGATGTACCCCAAGCTGCGTTCCCGCTCCTTCAGAGGGAGTGTAACCCCATCAACAGCAGGCAATCTCCCATCCATCCTGTTTAGGGAATCACCCACTAACAGTGCTTCAGTCTTATCTGGATCGAGCGCTTTGAATTGTGCTCGGAAACAGCCAACGTTGTAGCAAGATTTATTATACAGGTTATTTCCAAGCTAAATTCAACATTCTGCTGCTGAAATATAAATTCCTATGTGGTTTTGACCTGAGATGCCATGTAGGAATGGAGGAGAAATTTGTGTGGCCTGCATTTTAAAGCAAATCAACCTAAGCCCCCTCCTCACAGTCGGAGCTGAGTTGGGTAAAGACTCCAGAGACAACATTTTTAGAATCAGGAAAATTTGCTGGATACTACAGCATTACTATTTGCATGCCAGGAAAATAGCTTTCCAACCCCCTGCCCCCAGCCTCTTAAATATTTTAAGTTGAAAATATTTTAATGTGTTGATCCGGTAAAGTCTTCCCTGAAATCTTTATTGTGAAAGGTGCTATCAAAACCCATCATGGTTCATTCCACTCCTCCTTTCTGAAATGATACCCAAAGGTAGGATGCAAGCAAAGGTTGCCTTCAGGCCAAAAGAGCTGCTTCCTCTTGCTTAATTATAAATTTAGCCCTGTGTGGGTCACCCGACAGAGACAGATCTAAGAACTAACTCCTGCAAAAAGAAAGAAAGGAAAACCACAAAATCCCGCCAGTACCAGCTCTGTCCTTTCATCTACTGCTGGGACTATGACCCCCAAGAGCATCAACCATATTATCAAAGCCACATTCACTAGAGCATTCTTCAGTGCCTGTCAGTGATGCTCCTGTGGCACGCCCACGAGCCAAGCAGTTCACCCTCTAAGTGAGAAAATGAATGGACATGAATAATAGGGTATTAGCAATGGAAATGTCCAAGTGGAGCACTTTTCAGGCTCCCTGGGGGGTTCTGTCTCTGACCTTAAGATTGCCATGCTTAAACAGAAAGGCTTAGAAGAGAATTAGACTGAGAAGGTGCCCAATTAGAGTTGGCTTACAATTTTGCTACTGTATCTCTTGGTCTAAATAAGGGCTATAAAAAGTAATTGTCCCCCACGTGATAGCTGCTTTTGTGCTTTGATGTTTCAGCAAGGTTCCATGCTTTTTTTGGGAAATCATTAAATCTTACCTTGTTAACCTAGTTTTTGCTCCCATGCACCTCCACCCATGTGTACTTATCAGCTCTTGCAGTCTTTTACCTATTGCAGCTCATGCTACAATTAACAGGTAGCCCTGCAGGACTCATTTGTCTTTTGTACTGGCCAAAAGCAGAAGAACATAAAGTCTAGACTATATTATAATACTATATTATGTCTCTTCATTTATTTATTTTAAATGCCACATTTTTTTTCTTGCCACACCAATTTTGTTTGTCACACTGTTGCTACTATTGTTAGTATACAGTGTTCCAGATCAGTACACAAGGTTACTTTGCTAAAAGGCTACCTTTTTACATATTACCATTTTCTCTTGGTTTTCTAATACCTATTGGGCATACTTGCAGCAAACTAACCGATTTTCAATGCGCAGTCCACAAACTTGTCGGGATTCTTTTTTTGAGTTGTCATGCTGTAACTCTGGATTCTGCAAAATGCAGCAACAAACTCGTTTCTCCTGCAGAGGAAAACAAAACCTAAGCCGTGTCTGCATTAAACTTCAGAAATTCACATCCATGAGCCCATCTTGACATCATGCGCCCCAGGCAAGCCTCCTCTGGTGCCACTTACCATGTTGCAACTGCTGCTTGCCAATGTTCTCCCAAGTACGGTAAATCTTACAGTAAGAAGACTGTCTTCTCATGCCTACTCAGAGATAAACTCTACTAGCTTTCTTTAGCAAGCTTAGACTTTGTTCACACTCCCATTCGCTGTACACTCACTGCGTTTCCAGTGCTGGGTTTTTAATCAGTGTTCACAAGGCGTTATCCAAAATGCATATGTATGCTGTACATTGTTATAAAATACTACTGTTTGATGCATTGTTTATCAAACCAACTTCACATCAGTTGCAGTCCTTAAGCTGCCCGTAATTCATCTCTAGCCAAGGTGTGAGCACCTTTGCGTAGGGTAAAGACATCTCTGCCTATCAATGTTCCCTGGTGTGTACACACACACAAAAACAAATCAAACACTAAGGAAGGTATGTTGATGTGAACAGGTGGCGGGGCGGGGGGAGCTGTGAAACACACCAGGGGGGGAAATCACTACACTCCAAGGCAGTAATGTGAACACACCCTGTGTCTACATGAGATTTGCATTCAAATGTGCATGCTGTAAATCAACCTGCTATGAGCTGTTCTGGATTCATACCATTGTGCAGCTGAGTTGTGTTAGGGATGCTGTGGACCCATTGCTAGCAGGATTAATAAGCCGCATGATTTTGGGACCACTCCTGGTGCTGGGGCATCTAGCATCGCACTTGCTACATCCAGTGACATCCAGCTATGGAAAGATGCTAAGGAGTTTTGCAAAGCTCTAGTTGGCTATAATTTGGAAGAGGTGCTAAAAACCCTTCAAAGACAAGATGTAATGAAGTATAATTCCAGAGGTGAAAAAACGTTGAGATTCTAGCAAGGCTAATGATGATTTGACAGTGAAACAAAATTGTGTGTGTTTTAATTGTTGTTTTCGTTTCCTTCTAACCCTCAGGATTAGCACCAGGTCAGCTCTACACATATCCTGCTCGTTGTTGGCGCAAAAAGAGACGTTTGCATCCTCCTGAAGACTCCAGGCTGAAGTTACTGGAGATTAAACCTGGTAGGTACTCCTCTCGATGTAACTTCATGACTCTGGCAGGCACAACCTCAGGGCTTTTGAACTTGCCTTTCTGTCTTTGCCTCTCTCCTGTTTGCAAGCAGATAATTTTGCTAAAATCCATTGTGTTTTTTTAAAAGGAAAAACCCATTCATTCTTAATTTAAGTGCGGCTGTAATTTATACCGCTCTTGAAAGACCAACATTGGCTCCCAGTACATTTCCGAGCACAATCCAAAGTGTTGGTGTTGACCTTTAAAGCCCTAAACGGCCTTGGCCTAGTATAACTGAAGGAGCGTCTCCACCCACATCGTTCAGCCTGGACACTGAGGTCCAGTGCCGAGGGCCTTCTGGTGGTTCCCTCACTGCCAGAAGTGAGGTTACAGGGAACCAGACAGAGGGCCTTCTCGGTAGTGGCGCCTGCCCTGTGGAACGCCCTCCCATCAGATGTCAAAGAAATAGACAACTAGAAGACATCTGAAGGCCGCCCTGTTTAGGGATGTTTTTAATGACTGATGTTTTAATGTATTTTTAATATTTTGTTGGAAGCCACCCAGAGTGGCTGGGGAAACCCAGCCAAATGGGTGGAGTAGAATTATTATCATTATCATCATCATCATCTTTATTATTATTATACTGTGGGGAACTGCAGTGTTTATGTTGGGGCCAAGTGTTTTTCTCAATTTTAACAATTGATGTTTGGGTGGGAGGGCAATGTATCTCCTGAGTGTTATGCCTCATGATGGCATATCCTAATAAATATTTGCTAAGGCTCCATTCATCCATTACAGCCATAGCATGGTTGTCTGCGAAACAACTGTGGGTGCAATTCCATATGGGAAAATATTTTTGTGTGTTGTAGTTTCCTACATAGTTCAACAGATAATCACAACCACCTGAAAAAAGTAGTCATGCAGCTCTTGCAATGCAATGTGTAGGAAATCCTTCAATAATGTGTGTGTGTGCTTATATGCATGGTGTGTCACAAGGAATCATGGGAACTGTAGTTTTCACTGAACTGAAGGCATTCCATGACAGTGACACATCTTGAATGTAGATTGTAAACCTGAGAATAAGTACTGTCCTAGTGTTGACATTTGTAAATGACATAAAAATGCTTCAAACAAATACTTAAGTAAATAAAACAATATAAATGTGTATGTATGCGTTCCTTTATATTTCCAGCTTTGCTGTTTTCTGATTTCCTCCTCATTGCCAAGCTATTAAGAAATGAAGAAGGGAAGAATCCTTGTGCTTCTTTATTGTTAGCAGTTAAAGACAGTTAAAGCACTAGCAGTTTCTAGTGCTTAAATCTTCATCAGAAGGAGGGTGTTCTCATACTGTTCAGTTTTGGAGAGGAGGAGCACCTGGATGTTTAATTGTATCTTTACTTGCAGGATTTACTCTTGATAAAATCCCACAAACAGGGCAAACAGGAAGTCTCCAATCCCTATTGCAAGCCACATAGAACAAAACTGGTGTGTGTGTGTGTTTTCTCATTTGTTCAGATTCAGTTTTATTCACCAGAGAGAGAAGACTCAGCGGTAAAGAATAGGTCTTCAATGTTTGAACCATTGCAAAATTGGGCATATTTGGATCTTAATTTGGCTTAATCACATTTGCCTTCATCACAGAAAGTAGCCAGATGGTCAGTAATGGAAACCAAACTAAAGTCTGTTTAGGATACTAACTGAGATGTGTAATAAATCTAACCGCACAATCCTAATATCTAATCTATCTATAGCATGCTCAACACTGTCCGTATAGCATAAATATCAAACACTTAGTCATGTCTCAGCCACAAAAAAATAAAGTATTTAATGATTAAACCCAAAAGCCTTTTTTCACATTAGCATGTTTCCACAACTCCTCCCTCCAGCCATACAGTAGAAAATGGGAAATCTCTCTGAAACCAAATGTCATTGTCCAGCACTGCACAATTTAATTTATGTGTCTGTCTGTACGTACTCATTTAACAGTAATTATGGACTCTTTTATCTACTGTGATCAAATGCTAAGTAGCTGTTTTCGAGTGCCCTTTGACTATGGTATCCTGGGAGGGTTGTTCACTCTGATGCTGTAAGATAACATGATCAAGAGTCTGGTGATGTTAATTCTTGTCTGAAAAGAAAACCCAACAGAGTCATATTAAACATTTATTTATTATGGCAGAAACAATGTCTAAGTTCATCCGCAGTATCAACTTGAAATAGTGATTTAGTCACATTGTGTTCTAGAAAGTATTTAGGAATTGCAAATAGTTATCTGTGAAAAATCAAGGAAAGGTTTTTGGAGGAGAGAATGTGTCAGAAGAACATTGTAGCATGCCACAACAACCCACAGTAAATTTTCTGCAGCATGCTCAGCTTTTTTGATAACCTTGTGGGAAAGAATATCAGAGAATCCACAAAGCTGGGGGGGGGGAGCAGAGGGGAGGAATTGTCCCAAGGGAGTTTCCCTATTGCCCTCCTCACTCTCAAAGAGGAGGTTGCAAGCTTTTGCAAGATTAAAGGTGTTAGCTGCAGGTCCGAAAAGTCAGCTAATCTGCAATTCATAGCCCTTTTTAGGTGCAAGGAGAGCGTTTCCTAAACTTTTAGTAATTGAAGCATATGTTCTTCTGAATTTAAATTCAAATTTTCCATCTGAAGAAGTTTATGTGGAGAGTATGTAAAAGCAAGAATTATTTCTCCTCAGAAGACTCCATAAAGATTTGTTTCTGCATGAGTCACTAATCTGGGCTTGCCTCTTGATTGGAAACAGGCAAGTCCAGAGCAGTAAATCTTGCAAAGATACGACAGGCAGCCTCTTCTGTGGGTGGATGACTTGGCCAAGGACACAATCCGAGTATATATGCCAGAGCTCTGAACACCAAACCAAGCCTCCTTTTCTTTGATCAGACAGATGGCTTGCTGAACATTGCTACTATCCCTCAACCCCATATTGGCAAACACAAAAGGAAAAACTAATCAAGGCAACCTCACATAGTGTTACCACTCCACATAATGCATCTTTCACTTATTGGATTTGGCGCTGAACGTGTGATGATAGCCACTAAGAATTCAATCCTATACACATCTACTCAGAAGGAAGTTCCTCTGAGTTATTCCCAGATAGGTGTGTGTGGATTTCCACCTTGGTTAGATGGCTAAAAAACAACAACAAACCAGGTACGATATTTGGAAAAGAAGTCTATCAACTAGCTTCTGGGCCTGGGTCAAGTGGGGATGTTTTAGGAATTCATTGGTTTTTTTGTACTCCAGTATGAACTCGCAAGATCCACAGTTTCTGGAGTAATGTGCAGACTGGAACATAGCTATCCATCAGATTTTACAGTATGCTTCTTTGAATGTTGCAACATGTATTTTGACATGGAATACTTTCAAAATATTTTATTTCAGTCTGTATTGAAATATGAATTTTTAAAATAATACCACAGATGAATGTGGGAATGAGGCAGAAGGGATTTATGAGGGATCATATGTGAAAGCAACTTGGTTTGCTTTTGACCATTAAATGCTCCTTAGACGGCCTACCTCCATATATACCTACCCATACTTGAAGACCTTAGGTGGGGAGCCTCCTTTGGGTGCACTCATCAAAAATTGTGAGGCAAATGCCTACTACAGAGAGGGCCTTCTCAGTGGTGGCCCCCCAAATTCTGGAGTGCTTTCCTCAAAGAGGTTTACAGATATGCGTTTACTTGGAATGCTCCAGCTCTCCCACCTCCCACCCCCAAAGAGGTGGGAAAACACAAAAAGACAACATGATGGGCATGATGAGCCAGCCCTCCGCCTCTGTGGTGGAACGCAGACTGTGTCCTGAGGGGCATGGACTGAATGTGATTCCTTTGCACAGCCCACTGCACAACATTCCGGCATGCCTGTGCTCTATTAAAGTCTCAAGTGCACATGCACCCATTGAATATCTATTGATTTACAGTGCCTGGTAATATGAACGTGTGATTTATTTAGGACCCACAAAGGAGTATTGATTTTTTTCTCGAACCTTTTTGACCTTAAAAAAAGAAAAAAGGCAATGCGGCCTGTGTGGTCTTTATGTAAAGTGACCAGTGGCACAAGATACTGATCCATACATTTAGGCTTGTCTTCCTCCTTTTAGATATTTCTCTCAGTCCCCTCCCTCCCCCACCGACCACCTCACTGTATCCTAAGCTGTGAGCCAACCTCACTCCTCCCAGCTATCCAGTTAACTTTTCCTTGGGTGTGCTTGGAGAAGTGGGTTTGCGAGCTCGGTTTTCCCTGCTTTTGCTGCTCAAACAAAACATACATAAATTCTGGTTTGAAGGCAGTTTCCTTTCTTCTCTTCAGCTCCCCCCCCCCATCTTTCAGGCAGGCTATTTCCTCCTCTTCCCTTCTAGTTCCCCCTGTGTTTGTTCAAACGTTTTGAAGAGGGGTTTTTGATTTTAGAAATTAGAATAGAACGTATCGTTGCACTTTTCGCCGCAATTCTATTCTAACAGGGCGGAGGAGGAAGAAAGAGGATAACATTCACTAACAGAATAATGCTAGAAAAGTACCAGCACCTGTTTCTTATTAAGAAGCAGTGCTGAACATAGATGCTGGAACCAGGGAGAGCTAAAGACCAGGCTTTTCTCTTGGGAGTTGCTTGACTGTCTCTCTCCCCTTTCCTGAGGCCTTCATGCGTCACTGTGGAGTTTGAACTGCCCATGGCTTAGTTCATTCCTGAGAGATAGCAGGTGGCCTTCAGCAGAGAGGGATTCTAATCTGAGGAAGCAAAATACTTTGTACGTGGTTTCAACTGCCTAACTGATGTCCTTCATTCCGTGTTACTGTCCTAAACTGTTTACAGGATTATCATTTTCACCAACACACCATTTTTTTTGGGGGGGGGGGAAGGAGAGGGCAATCTCAATTTTTCTTTCTTTCTTGTCAGTGAGTGTAATATGGCATCTGGGTTTATGTGTGTGTAAGGTTAGCCCTGCTTACATGCAGATCTCTATTTGCATTCCTGTGTTCAGCTCAG